GTTTTTATACTTCTTTGAAATGCGTTTAACGCGCGCTTGGCGTTTGAGTGTGTACGGCTACATAGAACTCTTGGTTCTTTAAAACGTGCGTTTAACGCGCGTTGAAAAACGCCTAGTGTGTACAGGGCCTTAAAAGTTTGCAAACAAATTTTTAATTAGTTATTTTTTATTGTAATAAACAATTTCATCTTTTTATAATCGCTGAATTATTAAAATTAAAAATTAAACACTATTACATAAAAGTAGTTTATCCTGTCATTAATCCACAACTGTAAAATTATATGGCTTCAGAACGATGAAAAAAACCATTTCAAAATGGATCCTGGTGTATTTTCTTATTAAAGATTGCAACATTATTTCTTGCCGTCTGCGTATGGCTATGATTGGTCATCTATATTCAGCAAACGAAATCAACAACGCAGTTAAGGAGACAAATTCCCTGACTTTTTGACAATTTTTGACAAATTCCCTGACATTCCCTGACTTTTTCAAAAAATAATGAAAATCCCTGACTTTCCCTGACTTTCCAGATGCGTAGGAACCCTGTTTGTAATGCTTCTTTAAATTTGAATTATTTCTTACATTAAAAACTTTCACTACTGAGATGTTTAAAGTAGATTTTAACATATTCTGTATAACAACTGATTATAAATAAAAAAAAAGCAAAAGGTTCATAACAAATTTACTTACTGACATGTAGAACATATTGGACTGAATGAGCAAAATACTGTAAAATAAAAGTAAAGTTTATGAATGATTATTTAATAATGAATAATTTGTTAGTAATTTGCATCAAAACTACTCAAAATCAATGTTAATTAAATTAAATATAATAATACATGTATATTTTGAAGCTTGCATAATTGAACTAATGAAATTATTGTCTTCACCTATTTCTAAATTTCTTATGTTTAAAAAAATTAGATTCTAAGCACATTTTACTTCACAATTAAAAGCAAATATTGTTTCATCTGACATCATTATAAAGTAATGTTTTACATTAAAAATATGATCTTATACTGTATCTCTAACCCATATCAATAACAGGATAGACTAATTCAAATTATAAAGATTTCTACAGCTATGGATTATATTTATTAAACTTTAATTGTATTTTGAAATAGCAACTGTTTTAATAGCAAATTTTATTAATTTATCCAGTTATTGTAAATGGATATATAAAATATCAAATAGCAAATTTAAAAATATGCAAATAAATTTAGCCAGAAAATATCTAACTGTCATCAAAACAGAACATCTAATATTGAAATCTAAATTTAAAAAAAATATTCAATATTCACTTACTTGAAAGACAAACAGAACACACATAACCAATTTCTATAAGAGTTCTATGACAAAAACATGCAGCTCTATAATCAACATGGATACGTGGAGGTAACACCATTTCTTTTCTTGTTTTATCATTAGGAAGAAAAACCCACTAATTAAAAAACATAAAAAATCAGTTTATAAAAGAATGATTTTTTTAAACAGTTTAAATCAAACTTAAAAATTACATAAATTCATATGTTTTAATTTCTTTTTTCAAAACAAATAATACTTTAATTATAAACTTAACAATATAGTGTTTTGAAATATGTTATTTGAATGTGAGATAGCATGTTTCACAAAATAAAAAATATTTAAAATTAATGTAGGACATCCAAAGAAAAGTAAATGAGATTCTAAAACAGTTTTAGAATCAAAAAACATTATTTCCTTTGATGATGAGCAATTGAACACAGAGAAAAACATCCAAAATGCATATTGCAAATAAAAAAATATAAATAAATGCACTTAGTATTTTTTTAAAATGAAAGATTAAATTGAATGCTTAAGAATTTTAGTAGGCTATCAACAAATAATTAATACAATCAAGTAGCCAGTTAAAAAATGCAAATATATTTTTTGTTTTTATTTTAGTAAAAGATAAATGAAAATTGTTATAATTATTCAAATAAAAGTAAATGACTTTGAGTAAGTGTTCAATCTTTTCTGCTTGTTTGACCCTTTCCAATAAGAGATTTAATTCGCAAACCCCCTTTATATTGACAGAAATTGAGAGTAAAGTATAACAGAATGAAACAAAATCAAAGAGCTAATAATAATTTTTTATTAAACGTAAAATTCAAAATTACATGGTCTTACTTATTGGGCTGCAATTTAAAAAATTGTAGACCTATAATTTCCCACTGTCATCTATCTGTTTTTCTTAATCTTGAAAATGGAATTAGATAGACAAAAGTCGAGACCAGATGTGGAAACCTTAGGGGCAAGAGGCTCCAAGTAACTATATATGAACTTCCAATAAAAAGTCACATTATTTCAAATCAAAAATTTTCCCCAGAATGGTTTTAGATAGATGACCAGCACGACTATTGTTAAAGGTAAAACTATGATGTACAGGAGCAAGCCAGTAATAATTTGAGGTGAAGAGCATATATTTTAAGTTAAATAAATTAAAAATTGCAGCCCAGAATTGTGATGATGTCACAATAAATAATTGCTCATTAATATTTAAATATATATATATATTTATTTGTCCACTGATCCCTAATATTTTGTCAACAATCCAGTAAATCAATTGATGCTAGTCACTGATTTAGAAACCCAAACCTAAAAGAGTTATCAAGTTTTAAAAAGTAGATAAGGATTAGTTTAGGATTCAAATACTGAGTAACTAAATAAAGAGGATAGGATTTAACAAATTTGTACAAAATCTTATAAATGTAGTATATTGTAATTTTGAAATAGAAATATTGCATCATATCAGTCAAATGATATTATTTTAACAAATAATTTTATTTTAACACTTATTTTCTTTTCTTGCCTTTAAATTAAGCTTACAATATAGATTTGAAATTAGAGGCATCACTTCTAATTGTAATATTTAAAAAAAATAAAGTAATATACTCAAGGATGGGTTTTAGTACATGAAAGCACTAGGAATAATGAATATAAAATCCAAAAAAAACAGTTTAGTGAATATCTAAATATATCTACAAGCTTAAGGTATAACATTTTACTTGACACACATTTGTAAAATCAATAAAAATAAATTTTTACAGTTCAGAACCAAAATATGCTTAACACAATTTTGGTTAATGTGGAATTTGATTAATGCATGAAATTGCAACATATTATGTATGTGGCAAAAGTTTTAATTATTGTGGCTGTAACAGCTGATTTTACTTACCATAGATATGCTTTTTTCAGCAAATAAGGTATTGATGAATTTGCTATTTCTGTGCTGAGAGTGATTTCCAATACAGATATGTAGTTTAATTATAATAGTTGTAAAATTTAACATATATCTGTTAATGTGAAATTGTATTCTTTGTTTAGAAAATACTTATTTTAACAGTTTACATCAAATTTGTTTGTGTAAAATTGAATCAAAATGTCTGCAGATAAAATGTATATTGGGCATATTATGTATGCTTTTTAAGTTTCATAAAGGATATAACAGTAAGAAATACTCCTAATGTATGGGGAAGATGCTTCTAAACCTTTACATCAGACATGTCAATATGTGGTTTGAAAATTTCATCTGGAAAATTTTGAATGAAAGGATATAAAGGATACAGGATGCCAAAAAAGCTGTTGACAAAGGGAAATTTCAGAGGAATTACTAAAAATCAATGAATAACAACTCATGAACTTGCAACAAATCTTAGTGTGTCACAAACATGATGATTGTGTTTCTCTTGCATTAAGTGATAAAAACAAACTGAATTGACTATTATTTTGTCTGACAAAGGTAAGCAGTGCTAAAGTTTCATTTTATTTTTAAATTAATTACTCATTTTTATCATAGAATACTTTTTTATGGATGACAAAATTAAAATAAAAGTATTTGTTATTAACTGAAAATTTGTTCTAGCAGGTCAGGATTATTTAGTTGAGTACCAAGATACTCGAATTATTGTAATAACCAAATGATATTGCCAGATTAACTTCTTAAGCTAGAACTTGGCTAATATAATAAATAAAACATAATTTGGGATAGATAGATAATGTAATTATTAAATTTTAATACAAGCCTAAGTTATTAAATTTATTTCAAAATTGGACTACTTAGTAAAAAAAAGATCAATCTGAAGCAGAACATCCACAACCTTTGATACCATGCAATTATGTTGTAAATAATGCTACTGAGGTTTCCATTCAATCTTCACTTTCAGAATAAATTATGTTAATCTGGCAATATCATTTGATTACAGTATTATAATAATTTGAGCTTGATTGTCTATATATATACAATGCCAGAGAGAAAGCTAAAGTTATCTAAGAGCTATGGAGGGCTGTAAATGTGAAGTTGTTCATGGCACAGTAAGTGACCTACTATCTGATCACTAATGAGAAACTCCTAGATGCTACTGGGTATAGGCAAGAAAGAAGTCCATTATGAAAGTAGGGTAGTTACTTCAGAAAATGAGTTAGTTTATCAAATAAGTAAACAAATTTGCAAATGAAATTAGAATTTAATTAATAGTTATTGCATTAACAATTTACTTATTAGAATCTATGCTTATTAATTAATATGGATAAATTGCTTGCAAACAATATTAAGTACAATGTGAACAATGCATTTGCTTTGACTTCAAAATTGTTTATTACCTGAACTTGTAGGTGTGGATCCATAATCAAATTAATTCAATACAAATATGGACTATTGTAAAGAAAGAAAAATGATAATTTATAGCTCAATAACAATGCATGCTGGATGAGGAATGTGGAAATCTGCCAACTAGGGCTCCAGGATCTGTGGTCAGACACTATATGGTTATTGCTCTTAAAATTAATTAGCCTGAAAGCAAAGGTCCAGGTAGCATAATTGACAATGCATCTGCATGGTTAGCAGAAGTTCTAGGTGTGAATACTGCACTGGACCAATCTTTTCTTCCAGAATAGTCTAAATTATTAAATTTCAAAATTAATAAAATTATTAAGTTTAATACAAGATTAACCTAATCATCTTTTTTTCAGTCAAATGACATATATATTTATCACGTTAATTAGTCCAGTTCAAGCCTGAAAATTAATGATGATGATATCATTTGGTTATTACAATTAATCTTCGTTGTAGCATTTGTTTATTGCATGAGATTTGTGATTTTCATGTATTGTTTGATTTAAACTTTTTATTGTTATAAAATAACAAGATATTGATATTTAAAAAAAAATGTAAATTTTTTTTATATTTAAAAAAAATTAATAAATAAAAATCAAATTTAAAATTCTTTATTCTCACCAATAAATATTGTAGAAAACCTGCAGGATTTGGTATTTTCAGATAAATCCCTCCAGTTATATCACATCCCTAAATAATAAAATTATTTAGTGCTCAATTTTTCAGTAATGATAACTTTATATAATCTTATATATAATGACAACCTTACTTTTCTTTATTAAACATTTCATTTCAAAATCAGGGGCCATATTCTGGTCATCATCTCTCATCTCTGAAAGACATTGTCTACTTCAAAAGCCAGTCGTTGATTGACTAATCATTTGTTTACATCTTGAGAGAACATTGCATCTTACCAAACACAATTCTGGACAACTTTTTCTCTTGAAGATTTTCTGGTCTCTCAGAGACCAGTGAATAGTTGTCTTTCATCTGTTGTTTCAATTTCATTATATCCAATATGGACGACTGGATGCTACTTGCACTGTACAATTGTATTAGAGAATGTTCTCCATCTCAGAATAGAATATTTCGAGAGAGAAAATGCTTCTGATTTTTTTCCAGTGTCTACTCGGGAATGCCACTGATTCCATCTTTTTTAATTATCCTACATCAATTACTAAATTATTGAATATGATGTTAATCTTATCCGTTTCTCTAACAAGTAAGTATTTTTCGAAATATTACCATCTAATTTCTCCTTAACTAAGTATGTATGATTTTCTAATTTAGGTTATTAAAATTTTTATTTGTTAAGAGACAATTTGACATTACAATCTGTAAAGAAGTTATAAAACAAAAAACATCTTCATCAAAATTAAAGGCTTTATTTAAACTCGTGCTTTCCTTACCATGTTATCTATAATTACTCTGCATTTTTGAAATTTTACAACTTCATTGGTTATAATCCTACACTGTATTGTATGTGCAGATAACCTGAACATGTATAATCAACCTAATAGAATTGTGACATCAACAACAAAGACAAGATTGTTATGAACAATCAGAATCGCCTCTGTCTCTGAGAGATGAAATTCGTCTCTCATTTTGACATCATTCACCTCTAAAAGAAGAAACGAGAGCTAAGTGACAAGAATATGGTCCCAGGTTTTTTATAATTTTTAACAAATTATTAAAAAGCTTAAGAGGAATAACAGATAAAATGCACAAATTCTTAAAGAATTTGTATGTTTTATCTGTTAAAGAATCCTTAAAGAATAAGGAAACTAGTTTAATTCAAGGTTCAATATTCTCTGAACTGGTCTGTTCTATCGCATGATCATAAAGCCCATAACAAGGATGATAAAGATCAAAATTTAAATATCTAGCAACAATCTTTAATATGCTATGTACACACACGTGTATATAGAGTTTGAACATTCATTCACATCAAACATAAATCAATAGAAATAATTCAGCTAACACTAAAATTATTAGAGCCACATAAGATAAGTTTAATAAAATCTCAAGATTTTTAAACTTATTAAGATTTTTAATTAACCATTTGCACTCTTAGAATTTTTTAATTTGAGTAACTGACAATTCTAAAAATATATTTGGATCCAAGCACCCAAATTAGGATTCAGCATGTATTAATTGTTACTTAACTCAACATTATGTCTAAAATTACACTACTTCTATCATCATCAATGTCACTCTCAATAAATTGGATCTTCAATTTTTTTGCATTATTATGTTGTCATTATCGCTATTGCCCTCACTTTCACAATTACTTTCATTTTCCTCAAATTATCTCTATATAAATTCAAAATCATATCTATCTTAATTTTCAGTATTTTCACAAGTTTATCTTTTTTTCCAATTTTTTGCAGATAAAAATAAATTATGTAATGACTTGCATTTGCAATTTTACAGACATTATTGTCACAATGCAGAAAGTAGATATAATGCACTATAGAGTTATGCACTATATTATCAATGTAGCAGTACCTAAGGAGTGCAAAGGATTAAGCTTTTTAAAATACAATATATTTACTTTTTGATAAGTTTTTGAAAATTATTTAGCTTATTTTTTTTCAAGTAAGCTATTAAAAACTCATTACTACAAATTTTTATCTAAAATTTTTTAAACATAATAAATAAAATGGCAAGTAAAGTTAAACACAAACAACTTTAAGTTTGAATATTGAAAATTATTATTACCTGTTGAAGAAGTCCAGAATCTTTTTCTAAAATACATGCATCAATTATAATTCCCTAAAATGATAGATATAAATAAAACTATATCAATAACAAATTTAAACAATCTAAAGAATTATTATTTATAATTGATAATATCTACCAACAGACTGAGTAAAATATGGTGGAGTAAAGAAATAAAATAACAGAACAGGAACATATGCATTATTAATTAAAGAAAGGTGAAATATGGAAAATGACAGGCAATGAAGAAAAATCATGACAATCTCTGATGACATCATGTAGGATCTCAAAATGAAATAATATATATAATAATTTGATTCTTTGCAGACACACTAAGGTGACATATATCAACACTTGGCAACTTATTGACTATTTATTCAGTTGGGACGCCTTTTACATTACGCGTTTCGGGCATTGGCCCCTCTTCAGCCAACATAAAACACAAACCACTATTGTACAGATGTCGTACAGGATGGACAATTTCATATTTCATATACAACTTGGAGAACAAACAAGGTCGACGATAATCATTGGAGAACAAACAGGGTCGTAGATAACAGCTTGACTACTGGGCTTTTAAATATGGCTTTCTGTGGTTGATATTCGCATATTACACCGAAATTCATTCGATAGTAGTTGTCGCCTTTTCTTTCCGAACAAAATTTCACAAAGTCATCTTAGCAATATTATCCAAACTTGTATCTTTTCTTCATATTGAACTGTACACATGTTTTCCTTTTCTTCTTAATTTTTTTCTTTTATATATAATAATATATAAAAGAAAAAAATTAAGAACATAAATGAAGCTATATACATGAAAAGACAATTAGTATAATATGGAAAGGTAAAGAGAGACTTGCAAAAATCGCCACTGAACAGAAGCTTAAGACAGTGGTTCTCAACCTTCCTAATGATGTGATCCTTTAATATAGTTCCTCATGTTATGGTGACCCTCCAACCATAAAATTATTTTCTTTGTTACTTCATAACTGTAATTTTGCTACTGTTATGGATTGTAATGTAAATATCTGATATGCAGGATGTATTTTCATTGTTACAAATTGAACATAATTAATTAAAGCATAGTGATTAATCACAAAAATAATATATAATTATATATTGTGAAATATTTATTTCTATTTACAAATAAATGAAATTTTGTCTTGAAGCATGGTGTAGCATGGGTAACAAACACTCTTAATACAACAACAGTAAACTTGTAGCATGGGTAACACTCTTAATATAACAACAGTAAACTACATTGCTACATTTTGCAACAGTAAGCGTAAATAAACTCCTCTTGTGCTGTCTCAGGAACGTCTTCAACTTTGACTGCGAATGGGCTTCTGGCAAGTGCAAATGGGGTGTCAGGTAGATTTGGAAAGTACAATGAAATTTCATCTGCAAGCATTTGCAAGTGTTCTTTCACAGAAATTATAATCGTAATCCTTTTGTCTAGTTCCTCAAAGAAAGCAGATAAGATAGGTAACATGTAAATTTTATTTTCATCCAATTTTTTTTCCAAAAATGAAGTTTCATTCGGAATGATTGGATCTTTTCAGATAAATCAAGGAATGTTGCATTTGGTCCTTGCAGTGATAAATTTAACTCATTCAAGATGGCAAAGATGTCAACCAATTAAGCTATTTTCCACAGTTCACTTTTATCACTGAAAAGTGCTTCAAACTGCAGTCTTGCTTTTTAATTAAAAACGTTTTGAGTTCATCAGGAAGCTCATTTTAAACTCACATTTTAAAACTTTTCCTCTCGACAACCATCTGACTTCAGTGTGAAATAGCAGAGCATTGTTTGGCCCATCCAACTTGCTGCCCAATTGCAAAAACAGTCGACTGTTTAAAGTGCTTGCCTTTACAAAATTGACAGAACTTATGATGCTTTTCATTACTTTTTGTAATTCCTGTGGCAGCGTCTTCATTGCTAATATTTGCCAATGAATCATACAGTGAGTTCCGATGACTTTTGGTGACTCATTTAATACCAAACGTTGAAATCCAGATCGACATCCTAGTATAGCTGGAGCACCATCTGTGCAAACACCACAAACCTTTTCCCAAGAGGTCTTATGCTCTTTCAGAAATGAACCAACTATGTCAAATACATCATGAGTAGTTGTCGTTTCAAGAGGTTTGCAAAAAAGAAACTCATCTTTAAAGTCGCCATCATTAATATACCTCACATAAACCAGTAACTGAACAGTTTGCAATATCTGTAGGTTCATCAAGCTGGATACTAAATATTGGAAGTGGAGCAGATTTAATTTCATGGATTAGTTGATCAAGAATATCAGCAGACATGTCATCTATTTTTCTGCAGACAGTGTCAGTAAATAAGGAAATTGCATTAAATTTCGTAACAAATTCATCTCCGATCATAACTCGAACAATGTCTTTCGCCAATGGCAACAGTACATCCTCAGCAATGGTGCAAAGTGCTCTGGCAATTCTGAGTGCCACCAAACATAATATGAAGCTTCAATGGCTGCTAGATTTTGTTTGTGGTACTTGCCACCAGTGTCAAGTCTGGCTTTCTTGAGTCCATCAGCTTTGCATCTAAAATAGTTGGTATCCTTGCCTGCAAAGCTCGGATGCTTGCCATCAAAATGCCTTTTAGTTTGTTCTGCTTCATAGATTTGGCTGACAGAACTTCACAACAAATAATACATTGTGGTTTCTTAATTTCTGCTGTAATTATTGAGGTAAAACCATACTGTAAAAATCCTCACTATATTTTCTTTTCTTAATGTTCTTCTCTACACGGTCCATTGTCACAGGATGGTTTGCTAATGAAAATAATATATAAGAATAGCTTTAATAATACAAAAGATGATACATGGCATAGTTTAGTCAATACAGTTCATTAAAGTTTCCTATAATTTACCATTCTTTGTGTTGTTTTTTTTACATACCTGTTACTATCAAAAGGGGGCAGTATTCACATCAACCACAACTGAATATAAAGAGACTGATCAGCATCCAGATTAAGTTCCCATGGTACAAATATTTTTTGCAGTAGTTGATGATTTTACATTACATGAATTTACATTTACCCAGTAATTATAATTCATGAAGTGTTGTTTTACTTCCAATCTGCTGCTTTCAACACAGTAGCTGCTCTATACACATGTGACTGATCCACATAAATACATTACGGCACCAACCCTGTCACATACACCTGTATTTGTACGGGGTGTATGTGATGGGGTTGGTGTGATGATGTCATCACACCGGGTATTCGTATGTGGACATATCTGCATATGGGCAGACCCGCCTGGAGACGGATGGAGGAGTGGTGTCTCAGTTCCTAATACCATCAGAAGTATGTGCTTTCCGATGGTCTTAGTAACCTTTCTGAAAGGGTCATTTGATCCCCAAAGGGGTTGCGACCCACAGATTGAGAACTGCTGGCTTAAGGGAGGGACGAACACAATGGCATCAAGTTATTATTTCACCAACCCAATAGTGCTGTTTTTTTCCCAAACTTATCATAATGACTTCTGTATGTTATTCTGTGTCTCATATTGTCCCTCTTCAGTTGTTAAGTATTAAAATTTGGTATACAAACAAAATTATTAAATACACATTTGGCTTTCAAATCTTCAAATGCATTATTAAAATCAACAAGACATATACCATAATATAAACATACATTTAAAGTAAAAATAAAATATACATTTACTACTTATTGTATGTATGACTTTTCTAATCTGTTCTATCTTTTGACTTATTGTACTAATGAGGCCAAGTGCTGTAAAGTACTATATTATTTTTTTTCGACTTTCCAACGATTATCGACACTACTGTGTGCCGGAAATAGCCGTTCCCTAACGGGTACTTCCGGCACACAGTAGTGTCGATAATCGTTGGAAAGTCGAAAAAATAATATAGTACTTTACAACTGGCGCCCGAACAGGGACTCTAAGGCTAATATTAGACTTTATTGCTTTCTTTCGTTGACTTTGAATTTAGCTTTAGAGGAATAACACCTCGTAAGTAAAAAAAAAAAAAATGGATGATAGTGCACCAGTAACCCGAGCCGAATATAACCAGTTACAACAGCAGTTGTCAGTGCTGTTGCAACAAGTGTCCAGTTTGACGAATGCCGTGACTCATCTGACTTCATGTGTCACGTCTGGAACTGTAGAGCCTACAACACCGAACGTTACAAGTGCTGTACGGCCCGAAACTTCTACTCCGAGACAGGAAGTGCCTACATCTAATGCATCGATGGTCTGGCTTCAGACTGCACCGCCGCCGCCAGCCATCCAATTTAACGGTAGGTCAGCATTAACTGCTAACGATTTTTTGCAGGACCTCGAACAGCATTTCCTGGTGAACCAAATACCGAACACTAGATGGGTAGATACTGCCGCTAGTTGTCTTCGCGGTAGCCCAGCAATGTGGTGGAAGAATGAAGGACGCCACCGAATCGGCAACAGTTGGCCGTTATTTAAACGATGTTTTCTGGACCTTTATGCTCCTTTAGCTGACGAAGTAGCTGTCGCTAAAGAACTATTTAGTCGACAATATACAGGAACCAATGGTGTCGAGCAGTTTATATGGACCACGGTACAGCTATACCGTACGTGGAGACCTTTAGCTCGTGACGAGGAAATTATACAATGTGTAGTTGCCCAGATGCCTCTTCCGTTACGTGAGTATCTGGAGAATCGCCGTTCTTATTCGTTAAACGAGCTAGTACGCACTGCAAAAGAGTACGAATTCAGAAGAAATGACCAAGGTTCTTCTGACAGTGCAAAGCAGATTAAGGACTGTCGAAAAGTAAGTAAGCAGATAGAGCCGAAAAATTTTGCACCGGCAAAGTCACCCATGACCTGTTATTCATGTGGTGAGGTGGGACATTTTTCGAGGAATTGTCCCAAGGGGAAAAGACAAACTGATCAAACGAATGTCAAGACTCCCAATAGTCCCGAACGAAAAGTAACATGGCAAAGGAAGGGTAATGGAAAAAGAAAACCTTTAAACTAGACGGGAGACAGCGAGAGGAGGATCCTGTCTCCAATATGGATCCAAATG